CTCATGACGCGCGAAGCAGTTCTAGATGCTCGACTTAATGCATACAACTAACTGACAATCGCCATATTGATAGGGACGTTGTAAATTGTAATAAACTAATAATATGGTATATATCTCTGTTCTAAATCAATTCTGCTCCTGCTTCTGGGTTCCTTCTTTCTAGTTCTTCTACTACGATTTGTGGCCTGTCCTGGATACATAAGTAAGAAAATTATATTTAGATTTTGAATGCCGGTTAGCATGCAAGCATTTAATGCCACAATGGAATTACTGCAGTTTGTTCATCATCGTGGGCTTCGTATGTTAGGGCAAAAAAATTGAAGCAACGGGTCAGAATTTGGGAATGATATTATACCCTAACCCATAAAAATTAAACTCTACATCTTAATTCTATAAATCTCATAAACAACGATCAATTTAATTAAAAATAATATTGACCGACATGATTCGACAAAATACACATCCAGCAAACTATATTCATCATCTTAGTATTTAGGGTCTATGATATAGATAATTAAGACATTTAGTTCACTCATCAAGAGTTAGTGTATAATGTCATGTCCAAAATTCAGTTAATTTGAGACCTAAATAGTATTTTCTGACCAAGAGTATGTGGTGCCCTAGATTTACCTAGGGATGTAGAAGGCACCATATATATAGTATTGTCGTCGGTGCACTCATTTTTTTGGTGGGTTCTATCCACTCGCCTCATAATTGTCATTATGAGTAGGTGATATATGTTAAAACGATGTTAATCATTACGTTTGATATGACGTATAATAAAACACATAAATTTGCAACAAAATTATACCATTTACTTTAGTTTGAAGGATTTTGATTTCAGGGTTCAGTGTTTACAATTTGGAGATTAGGATTATAGTTACAATTGAAGGTTTAGCATTAAAGGTAACACACTAATTAGTTGTGATCCTTATATCATCAAGTTTACTAATATTACGGATTAAAATTAAAAATTTAATTTTTTATGATTAATTTTGTAGTTGTATACATAGTATGTACTCATTTTGATAAGTGTATCGAAGAAACCACTTATATATAATTTTTGGTGCACTAACGTTTTTTTATTCATACTTAGGGCGCGGACCTACCTTACCCCTTGGCCCTTGGTGGGCTTTGATTCCCCATCCATGCCCCGAGAATCATGTATAAATGTCATATGAATTTTGAAAATTACGTTTAAACGAAAACAAGAGAAAATGTAAAAGTGTGCAATTCATACACAAAGTCATTGATAAGATCAATGTAGCTCTTCAAGTTACAAATCCTTATTTTATTATTTTTTTTATTTGATATAATGAATTTCTTGCTAAATACTAATTTTTCAAATATTCATATTTTACTTACAAAATATGAAAAATATGTTTGTTTTACTAATTTATATCCAAAATTAACATCTTTCGTGATTATGAAATTTTGTTTGTTTTTTACGATCATATGTTAAAAAATTTCGGCCCCAATCACCATATCGTACCTCCGACCCTGTGCATGCTATGCACATATTTCATAATTGTCATTCTGAGCAGGAGATTAATGTCAAAATGATGTTAATCATTACTTGTGATATGCTGGATAAAAAATGCATGAATTCGCATAAGAATCATTTGATTTTTACTATGATTTGAAGGGTTTAGGACTAGGGTTAGAATTTATAGTTAGGATTCATAATGGAAGGTTTATGGTTAAGGTTCAAATTGAATGGATTAGTTGTGATCATATGCTATATCATTTTAGATATCATTTTCTGTCCGAGTTGAAAACGAGGTTAATAGATAAACTTTAGTTCGTTCAAGGTTGGCAATTCCGAGTCTTGAATTTCTTTATAACCAAAGAAATACTCGAGGTGCTTAAGATGAGGGTTTTGTTTTGGATCGATAAGATCAGCGTTAGCAAATCTGAAGATGTTAATTTTATTTTGGTTGACCACATTAGGCAAATGCTTAATTTTATTACCTTTAAGTCGGTTAAAATCGCGACCGTGAATTGTTTTCTTTGAAAGTTTGGTTTTGTGAGGTTGAGCCTTGAGTTTTGGAATGATCAAAGAAAACCAATAGAGAAATAACATATTTTGTTAAGATTCTTATACAATCACAATAAGTAATAATTATATTATTAAATAAAAATTACAATACATTTCTAAATAACAAGCTTTGCTAAATAGTTATAATTACAAATACTTAGTGATAAATGATATAAAATTTCCAAATTACTATTACATTAGACTAATTAATTACAAAGTTCGACAACAAAAGAAAATTATGCCAACTCAAATTTCAAATATAAATCAAAGTCAATTCAGGTCAAACCCAGTTAAGTCGGGTCATAACCCAACCATGACCATTGCGAATAACCCAGAACTGCTCCAACCCAAACCCAAAACTTGTATTGTTTGCTACATGGTGAGTCTTAAATCTATGTCTTAACTATTCTGTTGCCACACCTAGCCTAGCCAAGTATAACCTTGTTGGGTGGTGCAGTAAAGCATTTGAACGAAGTCATATCTCCGGGCTCGGAAGTCTACTGCTATTCAAAGGATTAGTTTTTATTTAGTCTACTTGTTTAGGTTGTAAATGTCATAATCAATACAAACTGAACTAACACACAATATAAAGAAAGAAAGAAAGTATCTAGGGTCTGGTTCCTTCCATTAACATGTTAGGAGATTTAATGTAATGGATAAAGAGCATCAAACTATAATGTATCGAGGCGCAAGGATTGCTAGCTAATATGAAAACTGATGCAATGGTCATGTCACACAATTCCCTCTTAACTACTTCCATCAACTCAACTGTCATGTAATTGACTTCTGTAACTAGGGATAAGACATATCTTCTTTAAAAGGTTTTAACCAGTAAGCAGACACTCCAAATGACTCAATGATCATGTAATCACCGAAGATGCATCAATTGAGTATAGTCCCTATTTAACCTAGGTAAATGCCCATATACTCTAGGTTGGGCATCTAAATCATCATTACACGCAATTAAATCTACAACAAAGCATTAAAGACATCAATTGAATAAGATAAACACTATAATTCAAACATCCCGTTCGTTACAAGATAAGTACTAACATGTAAATGGGAAGGGAGACAAGGAAACAAAGAAGGTGGAACAACCAAAGAATCTTCTTGAATATGAAAATAGCTCCAATTTATCTTCTCTCTGCCTTTCTCTTCTTCTTCTTCGAGCTCTCTTATTCTCTATAAACACACAACTTTCTCTCTACTCTCATTTTTGTTGTAAAAATTCGCGCTCGCTTCTCTCTTGCAGTCTGCCCATATTTATAGGATTTGAAAAATCCGGACAAGTTCATGCACTTCTCAGGGAAGTTCACGTCCATGAACACTGGACACGTCCCGTGAACTTGATGTGATCACATTTTAACCAACTTTGCTTAGAGACCATGCCCGAAAGTTACCAGCTTTGATCTATTTTTGAGGTCGTGACTTGTGACTCACGATCTCGGATGAAGTCCTGCGAGTCATCGCAGAACCTCCTTGTCTTTTTGACACTCGGTTGTCGAAGTTCACGGCTCAAGGAATAATGATCTCGATCATGAACATTTGCTTGTCCCATGAACTCGAGATCACATACTACTTTAGCCTGTGAATTTTTCCTCTTCTACACATGACAACATATTTCTCCCTTAGCTGACTTACATCGTAACCTGAATACGATCAAATGCACTAGGAACCAAATATAGGCTACAATGTGAGGTTAAGTGCTCATTCACTCACAAATATGACATGAAATCACCAAGATTGGGAATAGATAACACCTATTTTAGGTGTTATCAAATCCCACCACACTTAGGCGTTTGCTTATCCCTAGACAAACCTGTGCTTAAAATGTAAAACTCAAAGCCCCTAGCCTCTCTCCTCGATGTGAATCGTCGTAGGCAGATCACAAGGGACTAGAGTCATCTCGATATTACATGTTCATGCTCGACTTACTCGGGAATCCTACTTTGAATGTTTTCAAGTAACAGGAGATAGGCAAAAAACTTAGGGACCTCCTACAGTACCTTGTGTTTTTTGTAAGTTAGGTAACTTATTTTTTTCTTGCACAAATCTGGGCCATTAAAATTAAAAATAGAACATTACAGCCATTGATGAGAATTAAAAAAAAAAAACACGCTGATGGGGAAACCGGCTGTACCGGTTACGGCTGGCCGGCGAAAAACTCGCCGCCGAAAATCTCGCCGGCTGATGAATGCTACTGTACCGTGTTCCCATGCCAATTAGGAGTCGGTGAATTTTGTTCTATCCTAAAATTAGGTTTTCCATTCCACTATTGCTTAATCCTAGGGATCCCTCGTCTGCCGCCGCACCCACAGCCTCCAATCCTAAGTGCAGTCGACTCCTTCTGTTCCGTTTGCCGATCTCTGTGTGCTGCTCGCGAGTGGCGGCCGGGAACAAGGAGAGTCGCTTGTGGGGTTCAGCTCGCATTGATTGCTTAAAGAAATCGAGAAGAAGGAGATCGTCGCTCAGAAGCCGCCGGTTTTCGAGTTTATTGTCGTTCAGCTGCCGTCTCTGGGTTTCGTCCACCCGTTCGACCAAGAACAAACAGGGGGAAGCATAGGAAAAGAAGAGGTATCGGCGGCAACCCATTGCATATCCTGTCCTCCCACAAGGTATCTGTCTATTAATTAATAGTTTGAATCTTTTTACGATTTCGTTGGCTATGGAGAGTTCCCATGGCGGAAGTCGGCGTCGAGTGACCAGCTGCCTCCCATCTCTTTCGATTTCTATGCCTTGCTGACTGCTGCCACCGCTACCAGCTTACCCACCGGCCACCGCCGTCAAAATCTCCTTTTGAATCGGCTCTGTCTTGTACTTCATGGGCTGCTTATTCTAAAACAATTGTTAACTTTGCTTCCCTTATTCATTTTGAAGGCAACCCAAATTTTTGGGCTCTATGTCATTGTCGTACATGTTTGATTCAAATTGTAACTGTAGTTTCTGCTTGTCCACTTTAAAGATGAGCAAGGTCGATGAAGGTGTCTCCTCCGAACTCAATGATGAAAACCAACAAAGAAAAGAAAAGGTAATTCATTACATCTATTACTGGTCTCTTTGAGATTATTGTATGTGGTTAAGATTTTGATGTTGGTGAAAATTATCTTAATGAAAACATTATAATGTAGGTGTATTTAAGTAGTCGTTGTGGCGTACAAGAATTCTCTGGCCTTATAGATAGTTTGTCGGACGACAAAAAGCATCTCATTGAAGATATGGGATTTGGAGGGCTATTGCATTTGAAGAAGCATAAGTTGAAGTTGAAACTTTGTGAGGAACTTATGATGAGGTTTGATGTGACTACTAGTCAACTAAACGTGCATGATAATCGTTTGACCCTACGTGTTGATGATGTTGTCACCATATTGGGTTTACATGGTGGAGGCATGAATGTGGATACTCATCTTGGTGAGGGAGATGAAGTGAGGGTCAGGTTTAATTTGGGTTATGGACAAATTAAATGTTCAAATCTAAAAACAGATATGATGAAGGATCTCACGGTCGGTGAAGAATTTAGAGGGAAATTTCTTTTATATTCAATGAGTAGACTTTTGAGACCGTCTACTGCAGTTTATGTTCCCAATAATTATTTGAGGATATTAGGCAATATTGATGACGTGGGAAACTTGAATTGGGCAAAATTTGTGTACGATGGTCTTTTAGAAGGAATAAAAGACTATCAAAACAAATTGGAAGGCACATCAAGAGAACAATCTGTGACGGGTTGCGTTTTATTGCTTGAGGTACGTGAGTAGTAACTTTTTTCTTATAAGTTTTAGTCCAAATAAGAAGAGTTTGCATTGTCAGAATTTAAAATTTAATGTGATTATCTTATGTTTATAGATTTTTTACCTAGAGCACGTAAATATGCATAATGTGATTCGTCATTCAAGCTCCTTACCACGCATACGCCACTGGGATGACAAGTCAATTGGGACGATTGTTAAGAAGGTTTCTAGTTTGGGTGGAGTTGATAGCATACAGGTGAAACCTAGGTTTTCTCCTGATGTTTTAAATAATATATATGTAGCGACTGAAATATTTACTGCAATTTCTTTGTATCCAGGTGGAATTTGGAAGGGATGGTGCTAGTTGCTTCACAATTGAGGTTGGAGTAATAATTTTCTATGTTATAGTGTTTCATGGATTAAATTGATGAAAACGAAGCATTTTATTTATCTTATTTTGTGAAAATTTCATTCAATAGTTATTTACATGTCAATTCGTATTAATTGTGTAATATTTTTTTTTTAAATTTAACATTTGTGATTATATTCCTATTTGAAACAGGATGTTACAGCACAGATAGTTCAATTGAGGAATGAATTTCAACAAGAAATGCACTCTACAAAATCACAAATAGGTGACTTGAAGAAGGAAATGACTGATTCTATGTCACAAATCATTACAAAATTGTCCAGCATTGAAAGCCGCTTGGAAACCATAGCTGCAAATAAAACCATAGAGGATGAGGCGGTGCAGGTTCGTACAGAAAAAGGCGAGTTGAATGGTGATGCTATTGCACATGAGAAGACATGCGAGGAAGTTAGAACGGGTGCAGATCACACGATTAGTGAAGAGAATATGACTACAAACGAAGATTCAACTAATGTGTATGATAAGTTGGATAACATGGCTCGTGATTTCAAGGCAAAAGAAGATTTTGTGGAACTTTCTGATGATGCAAGCTCACTTCTAAAAGCATCAACGCCTAAGGGAAACCACCTGGTAAAGTTTTAGTAGTTTAGCATTCGAGTCTACAAATTCAGTTAACTTGACTTTTGTTCATATAGTAATTTAATTGGTTTTATTGGTTTTAGGAAAAGCAAGGAAATAGGAGATCTGGTGCAATTTCTTCTCAAAATGAAAAGAAAAGAAAGGCAAATCAACATGTAAGTGTATGCGTGTTCATTCCCTATGTATTCTCTAATTATTAGTGCGTGTGATTAGGTGATGGATAACATTATTGTTTCGTGGAGATTAATATGACCAGCTTCTATAGTTATTTTAATTTCTTGTGGTAATCTTGTTTTCAATTGTGGTAGGAGGAAGATGAAACAGATTCATTTGAGGCACTTATGGCTGGAGTAGATCAAAAGATTCGATCAAGAGAGGATTCAAACATGGGACTTCGAAAGAAAGAAGTACTCAAAGCCGGTCCACAATTTCAGTTTCCTTATGTGGCCGCCAAACCAGCGGTAAGAGGTCGGGGTAGACAACAAGGTCCTAAACAACAAGGTACTAAAAAAGGCGGTCGATCAAAAAAAAAAAAGATGATGATTATTGGGAGAATAAGGTACAATAAACTTGGATATTGTTCGACTAGAGTTTTTATCATTTAATTACTTTTGTGTTTATAATTTGAAAACTTGATAACTATAATAATTTCTTTTGCACGAAGTTCAAAATCAAAGAAATTGACATAGATCCGGTGACTGCACTGCCAAATCCCGTTGAGAATTTATGGACGTTTCTACTTACTGAGAAGTTTCGAAACAGTACTCCAAGGTAGATTCTGACATTTTTAGAATAGAAAGTTGGGTTTTTTCACCTAATATTTATATATATATTGTTCACTACCTATCGATATTATGTAGCACTAGGTTGGTCGAGTTTGAAACATATACAGCAACAAGAGCAGAGCTTTGGAGTTTGCGTGACGGAGAACATGTTCAATCAGGAGTAAGTGCTATAGTATATCATATATAAAAATGAAGGGTATTCTTTAGGAAATTTCTAATGATTAATTATGTAGGTAATTGATCTTGTTGTTGCTGGGTTAACACTGGAATATCGGGACAATAAAGAAAACGATTATTGGTTTATGCCCTGGTCATTTACCGTGAGTCTCTGCACGCTTGAAATTATATATGTTTTCGTTTATTTATACTTTATTTCTGAAGTCTTCTATTGTTCATCTAGAATAACATTTTAGTGTGGCGTGAACGTCGAACTACTGAGCAGCTAATTCAAAGATACAAACGTCACTATATGGGAGACATAGCAACTTGTAAGCAGGTTAGAGAATCGTCCTTTAGAGATACTCTTTCATTCGCGTTGTGTACTTGGCCATTGTTAACATATGTTTTTTGATCACTTTTAGATTTATCTCCCCATATGCGAGCATGAACATTGGTACTTGGCCATTGTTAACATGGAAATCAAGGAGGTATATCTGCTTGATAGTTATGCTCTAAAGGACGATTCTCCCCGTAAAGAAAAGATAAGGCAGATAGTAAGTTTAACAACATGCTTGTGTTTCCAAGTTAGCAAAATAGTCATATTCTATTTATTTTTAATTTTTGTGCTTTTTTATATATCTTCTTTTTTTAGTTGTCAGTTTTGGATGAAATGTTGCATCATGATAATTTCGAAGCAAAAAGTGAAGAAACCATACCATTATTGAAAACGTTTGAAGTGAAGTCAATTCCTGTCTTACAACAACCCAACACGTAAGTGGTTATTTTGACTCGAATTTATGTTTGAAATATTATATTTTTCTTCCTTGCATTCTAACACGGTCTTTTCTAATATACAGTACTGATTGTGGAGTACATGTAATTCAGTATATGAGACATTCTCCCAAAAAATTTAGCCACATCGTAAGTATCATTCTGGAGAAAAATGTTCGGTGCCATCTAATTTTAGGCATTAATTGCTACCTCTTTTTATGTTCTTATGTAGATCTCGCAGATGCATGGTTTGGCTGCTCGAAAGGAAATAGTTTCATGGCTATTAGTGCATAAACAAAATAAAAATAGTGAAGGTAACGTCTGGGGTGCTATGGGTATTGTTCGTCAAGATCCGGTTTACATACAAGAAAACAGAGAGGCAATGCGTGAAATAAAAGCTTTGGATAAAAAATCTGAAGTGATGCTGAGGACTGCAAAATCTTTGATGATGTCACGTCAGATGTGAAACATTGACTTTTTTCCATTAGTGTCCGTGGTTTGGGCGTTTGGAATTGGATTAATGGGGTGATAGCTACAGTCGCAGATTCCGACCTTACTGTACTAACATTTAGTGTTGTTTTTCCTTTGGATCGCATTCTCCTATTGCTTTGTTTTACCATTCTCGTCAAATTAGAGTTAGAGCCCTAGTCTTTGCGATTTTTCGGCAAGCTGTAGTTTTTGCCGCCGATTTCCTTGGCGTAGCGGGAACCTCCCGGGGTGCTCACCGGGGCGTTGCTGGCGACTGAGAAATTGTAGGCATCGCCGGCCGGAGTGTTGATAATTAGTGACAAGGATAAGGCCGCCAGCGACCCGTTGATGATAAAACGACGAGCCCACATGTTGATCAAGATGATCGGATATGGAGTAAATTTTTGCCTGGGCTCGTAGGCAGTGAAGTTTGTGCTTGATAGTTAGTGCTACCAACGAAGGATGAAACGTGGAGGGCACCACTCTATGGACTTTCAGTTACACTCACGCGTCTATGAGGGTGGTTTCTTGTTAGAGGGTTATGCATGTCGAACCAAATTCGATTAAAGGCAAGTCGAATTTGGTTGGAATAAATTACCGAGATAACGTAATTCTAGTTCGTTTATTCTGGTGCGTGACTAGAAAGAGAATAGATTTGCAAGAAGATACGATTTTTAGCTTGAGAATTGTACATTACTTGGGTGGATGAAAAACGTTTCGAACCTTCTACCAAAACGTCGACTGGACTCGATTCTCCTATGGGTGGAGAAACGGGCTCCAAATGTCAAAAGGAAGAGAGGCCGACCATGATTTGCTTTGACGCCTCCAAGTGACGCCTCCAAGAAGAAAACAACTAATCTGTGAAGGGTCTTGAAAGCTATGTTTTGATTTTTTGAACCTTCCATAGAGAAATGAATATATGACAAGGGAGAAACAACGATTTCCTTGACTAGTTTGGACTTTACTAACTAAAGCACACAATCTGAGGCTGGTTTTGGAGCAACCTTGGTCAAAACGTAGAGAGAAACAGATCTCGTTGATTCGCACCTAATCACCACCACCAGGATTGTGTTAATGAGCCATTGATCTGATCTGATTCTTCTGTACGAGCTTATGCATGTCGAACTTTTCCAAGAGCTTAGCTTGGGATGCGTTTCCGTGTTCATCACATCTTTGTTAATCTCCATTTTAACATATCTACCAATTACCATAATGAATCCAGTGGGAATAATATCGTCGTAGGTTGAAACTTGAAAGTGAGGAATCAAGAAGATAATGAATATTCAAATGAATCATTCTGCTGCCTGAACTGAATACTAACATCCTGAGCAGCCTGCAAATTGCTATCTCTGCAACTGTCTGTGCAATTCAATCCAAACTAATGGCACAAGCAAAAATGGAATCTCTGTAGCAGCAGGTTTGCTTTATGTCTCAAAAAACCGAAGCTCCACCATGAACTCTCGGTGCTTGGGCGAATACCACGCAATTGCCTTAGCTGAACCAAGGACTTGTAGCGCATACTCGATCGCAAATACTGGATCATGTGCATCTGCATACCAATTCGTCTGCTTGTTCAACCCGACAGTAACCCCAGAGTCCACTCTGAAACTAAACGGCCCGACAATCTGCAATCAAAACGATCGGTTAACTAGTACGCCAGCCCTTGATGCAGTAAATCATCAAAGGACGAGTGAAACAAGAGGAAACCGTGACCGTGTTTTTAAGATTCTGTTACGGTGTTACCTGCTGTTGAAGAGAAACAGTTGCACTTGGGCAAATGGCTTCGAGTGCTTTATTAGTAGGTTGTTGAGAGTTGACAAAATCATGTGCTAATTGAGTGGCACCAGAAAGAAATGTGCGGCCAGAAGGAAAATTGAGGCGGACATGGAACCGTGTGAGATCTAGGAACCACTTCTGGAAACTCCCATGCTGGGCCATGAAAGAGACAGATGAAAATAAGTCAGCGTGAACTGCTGATTTAAGGGCATGAGATCGATAGGAGAATCCTGCTGCAGTGCTCTGCGAATCATCCACTTCCGATGCAACCGAGTTGTCTCCATGAGAGGCCGTCATCACAGCACCTGCAAGACTTGAATATTAGGCTGGTTTCTAAACTAATTATGCCTTTTCTTTTTTCACAAAAAAAAAATCAAAGGTGCATGATTTCCAAGTTCACAATTATTGGCCAGCCACTTAGCGAAAATCAAAGTGAAGAGAAAGGGTGAAGAACTTGAGCTATACCAATGATACCAGATGCCGAAACATGAGGAGTAGATAGGAAGATGTCAAATGGTCGCACCTAATCACCACCACCAGGATTGTGTTAATGAGCCATTGATCTGATCTGATTCTTCTGTACTTGAAAATTAGATCAATAGATTCACTTCAACACTGAATGCATCTGATTGAATGTGCCAGAAATCAACAGAATAACCAACGATCTTCCAGCTAACATAGCAATAGTAGACAAAACTAACTGTATCTAAGAAGAGTAAGACTTAAGCCCTAGGTCATTACCTTGTGCAACATCCCAGATGGTGAATGCTGAGCTCTCATAAGAAGCAGATGCCAAAAATGTGAAGCATAGTCAAGGATACTTCTTCTAAAAAGGCCAACCGAGCAACATATACATATGACAGCATGAATAGCAGTAGTTGAATTATTAGAACAATAGATTTGCCTCATTAACTGAGAAACTGATAAAGAAACAATCCATATACATCAGAAAATAAGGTTGCATTAAAAGGAGATAGACGCTAGCAAGAAAAGCTATGACAGTTATGATAGCAATGATGAACGAGATCACGTTATACACGATCTGCACTCAATGAAAACCAAACAAACAAAACAAGCCTGCATATGGAGTCTGAGAAGCTGCCACCTGATTACTCTGCCAAGAAAATAAGATGAGGAAACTTAGTATTATACACTCTCCTAGACAACCAAAGATCAGAAAGAACTTGTACATACCTCTCGGGCATCTAGATTTGTTGTGATCAGGTTGGCGACATTTAGAGCATTTTCTAGGCTTCTTCGAATTCGGGGCAACACAGGCTGTCCCTTTTGTCTTCACTATGTCTGGATCTCTCACATCCCCATATTTTATTTTCACAGGGGGAGGCATGCTTTCATTCATGAGTTTTTCAATGCCACTCGACAATCGCGTAAGCTCTGTTGATGCTTTATCGAAGCACACTCCTGATTGCGAAGCCATTTGAAAAATTTTGTAAGACTTTGCAACTAATGCCCCATGCCGCATAGTTTCGACAAGCTTATTGTCTAACAAACTTGGACCTGCATCCGTTGAACCTAGACCTTTCACCTTCTTTGTCCACCGCAATTTGAAGCATGACTGAGGAATCGCATGCATTCCTCTTAATTTAATAACATTCAGAATATGCCGACATGGTATACCCATTGACTCAAACAGTGAACAGGAGCATATAACCTTGTCTTCTTTGGTATCATACTCCACAATTCTTACCCGGGAAGACTTTGACCATTGATGGAGCTTGAAAATCTCAAATTCTCCTTCCTTCCTCATAGGCTCGGATAATAGATAGCTAGTCTCGCCTTTAAGTTCCTCCCTGAAAAGTTTAAACATAGTTGGAGTATACAACTCTTCAGCTTGCTTCTCATAGCCACGTAGGACATGAGAGCAAAGGGACTTTGAATTGAAGGCTTTGAAATCATCCTTCGACTCATTAAACCGTAACTTATCAACCATTCTTTCATATCTTTTCACAAATTCAAATAATGTCAACTTCTTGTCCACATACTTGTTAATGGTGCTATTCATTCCCTCGCAACGAGATGTAGTTGCCATGCCTCCAAAGAACTTTCCTTTCAAATAAGCTTCACACCACATATGACGATCTGCATATAAACCTTTCACCCAGGGATGCTGGTCCAACTTTGTTTCTGTAACTAAATGCTGCCAGCTTTCTTCAAATTCCTCAACTGATATTCTGCTCTTCATGAACTTATTAAGGCCTTGCAAAAACATCAAACCCAGCTTCAATTCCCCTGCATTACGATCTATGTGCCAAGAACAAAGACGGTGAGCAGCTTTAGGAAGCACTTGAGATATGGCTTGGCGCATCGCTTTATCTCCATCAGTGATGACCGACACTGGCTTTTTACCTCCCATGCACTTCACAAATGTATCCAACAACCATATGTAACTCTCACTCTTCTCATCTTTCAAAAATGCACATCCGAACATCACCGTCTGATGATGATGGTTTACTCCTATGAGCATGACTAATGGATTGTTATATTTTTGCCTCCGGTAGCAAGCATCAAATGCTAAAACATCTCCAAACAATGCATAGTCAGATCTAGAAGTCGAATCTGCCCAAAACAAGTTACCAAGTTTATTACCCTCTTTCAACGTATAGTCGAAACTAAAGCTTGAATCTGCTTGTCCCCTTCCCTCGAAGTATCCGATGGTAGTATTTGCATCACCACCTTTAATCTTGTTCTTTCGAATGGCTTGGACTTTATTCTCCACATCTTTCGGAATGAAACCCATATTCTGATAGCCTCCATGTTGTTCCTTGCAAATCTCAGTAATATGTCGTGTACTTACTCCAACTGTACTCAACGACTCAATCAAAGCTTCATCACCTTCTTTGATTTCACGATGGGAACGCAGAAGATGTACATACTTGGATGGCACCAACTTATGATTGTGAGCCGATACAAGTGACTTGACAACCCATTTTCCAGTGTCGCGATCCAGATTTACACGAATCATCGCTTCACAACCTCCCCTAGTCAATCGCCGAGGCTTGCGTATACGAGCAGCATAGTTTATCCATTTTTGCTGACGATAGCCCTCCTTTGAGCACACCCATTTCTGCATTAGCATTTGTCCACTACGTGACTGTCGCGAATCTCGTTTGCGAATGCTAAAACCAATTTTTTTTGCATAAGCATTGTAAAACAATTCAGCTCCTTCCAAGGTATCAAAAACCATGGCTAATATTGCTTCATCAGAAGGCATAGAGACAGCAGCCTTCGTACCTTCGTCTTTTTGTAGAGGATTCTCAACATCGGCTTTCTCTGATTCTGCCATCGGAGAGGTAGAGGGAAAGCCAACGCAGTTGAGCTGAAGGAGAGGGTGGAGGTAATTGCTTGTTCGCCCTGTGGAGGCACGGACGATTGAGAATCGAACGATTGGAGCAGGAGCAAGCCGAGCCTTGTGGAGGCCGAGTCTTGAGGAGGAGCAGGAACGGACGATTGGATCAGGAACAGACTTCTGAGACTCGAACGATTGGAGCAGGGGGCAGGCCGAGTCTTGTGGAGGAACGGACGTCTGAGCTAAATCGAACCACTGGAGCAGGGCAGGCCGAGTCTAGTGGAGCGTCTTCAATCTCGCCGGCCGTCTTCAATCTCGCCGGGTGCGTTGCAGTCTTCAATCTCGCCGGCCGTCTTCAATCTCGCCGGGTGCGTTGCAGTCTTCAATCTCGCCGGCCGTCTTCAATCTCGCCGGGTGCGTTGCAGTCTTCAATCTCGCCGGTAGAGTGTAGCGGCGTTTCTCTGATTCTCGACGGGAAAGACGAAGAAGAAAGATGGGAAGGGGAAAGGAAGGCCGACCCTCAACTTCCTTGTCTCGTTTTTTTCCTTTTTTCCGCTTTTTTTTTTTATGCAAATATTTTTTTTTCTGAAGATTATAATTATAATTATTTTTTTCTGAAAAAAGTGAGCGGCTAGGGTTAGGGCCTGTTCACACACCCGGACTCCTAAAATGACCAAAATACCCTCTAATTTCGACTAAATTACCCGCTGCCACTCGGGGATTGCTTCTGTGAAATAAAAAAAAATTGAGACTCTGAAGTCTCGAAACAGAGACCCTGACATCACTAATTGTTTCAGGTCAGTGGAGCCAACCACTAAGCTATGTTATCATACTTGAAACTTTGATCTCCTCGTCTACTCTTCTTTGTGTTTAACGTTAATACATAATATTCGTGTCAACTAATCGTGCTAGGATTTTTGCTTTAACCAAATTATGTATACCTCTAAACATTTCAAGATATTAAAAACCTTCGTTACCACATTCGCTTTGGCTTCATTATTCATACCCATGCTCGTTTTACTTAGAAAATATCTTAATACGAAATCATGATAAATAAACCATAATAGTTACTCTCGATGGAATCATTTGAAAGATGGTTTTACCATTCAACTACTAAGTTGAAACATCATAAATACATTACCAAACAACTCAAATTATCATCTTAGCCACGATCAATAGAACGTGTTAAGAACGCTAACATTTCAAATCACTCATTTTAAAACTTCAACATCAACGAACTACGTGGACTTTGATCCCGACTAAGTCGGGTACGTAGGCAACCAGTAGGTTCGAGTCCAACTAACCAAAAAATCTTTCTTTAATTTTGAGAATTACGTCAATAGACGTATGATCACATATTAATAACTATCTAATTAATCAAATCATAAAATTAAATACATTAATAAAGCCGCAAATAATAATACACCCAACCCTTAAAAACTTATCGATTTAAGTAGTACCCATCCTGGGGCGTTGTGGGGTGTGCATACACTTCCCCACACGTAACTGTACTCCCGAACCTAAAATCTCAAAATTCGCAGACCAGATCCCGGTTCCGACCCTAAGGTTGGAGCCGGACCAAAAAGGTGTTCGATCCACCACAAGTAAGGTCGATGACGACTCCGATCAGTTCGCGACGGATCCCCCGATCTCGAGGGGCGGTTGCGACAGAAACAACAGAGACATTGAATTGATTCATTGCAGTGGTTTACTTGTAATCCGACTAACTAAAAAGTCGATTAATTAGTGACACATAACCAATCACTCAAATTCAAAACACATTATGAACTGGCCATTACATAATGTTTCCATAATGACCTTTTAAGTAGGGCTGGCTATTTGGTCTGGGCTTTTTGGTTTTAATACAAAACTGGATCATATAACTCGGACCAGGACCGGACCGGACCCAGATAGCAAACAATCTAATCCTATTTTTGGACTTAGATTTGAAAAAAAAACCGTTTGGGATCGGATTGAAAATCGGATAAAGACCGGATAAGAGAGCCCAACACCCAAAACTTAACCAACTCCTTACCCTTTGAGGCCTTAGGCCACTCAAATCTCCACAAGTTCAATCTAAAATCAAGACCGAATTGGAACCAGACCGGATCCATTCGAGCCAATTTAATCGACCCAGACCATATAGCCACAAATAAAAAATTATATCAATATGAAATTGAGGAGCGAATATAATCGGCCCGGACCAAATAGCCACCCGTACTTTTAAGTAGCTAATATTTTCAAAAAAAATTATATCGATATGAAGTTGAGTAAAATATGCTTCAACTGGGAATTGAACCTTGCCCAATTCAAAATAATATAACAACTCATCCGCTAGCCTATATTAGTAGATTGACCCGATCAATTCGGCCCAATTTAATCGACCCGGACCATATAGCCACAAATAAAAAATTATATCAATATGAATATTAGGAGCCAATTTAATCGGCCCGAACCAAATAGCCACCCGTACTTTTAAGTAGCAAATATTTGCAAAAAATTTTTTATTTCGATATGAAATTGAGTAAAATATGCTTCAACTGGGAATTGAACCATGCCCAATTCACAATAATATAACAACTCATCCGCTAGCCTATATTAGTAGATTGATGCTAAACTGCACGCAATATTTTATACCTCAAGTTAATTTATACTAATTTCAGAAGCCTCAATAACGTAATGCAATGCTAATATTCATTACGTAAAAGAAGGCTCAATTACGTAAGGCTTCCGTAATAACTTTTTACAACTGTTACGTAAATTACACATCCATTACGTAAGGCTTCCGTAATGACAGTTGTTTCTTACGTAACAGTTAAATCAGAAGCGTTACGTAAGACTTCCGTAATACCTTCACACTTTACGTAACGCAAGTTTAGTATTCATTACGTAAAAGGAGTCTCAATTACGTAAAGCTTCCGTAATGACATTTTAGAACTGTTACGTAAAATACACATCCATTACATAAGCCTTCCGTAATGACAGTTGTTTCTTACGTAACAGTTAAATCAGAAGCGTTACGTAAGGCTTCCGTAATACCTTCACACTTTACGTAACGCAAGGTTAATATTCATTACGTAAAAGAAGCCTATATTACGTAAGGCTTCCGTAATGACATTTTTTACCTATTACGTAAAATACACATCCATTACGTAAGGCTTTCGTAATACCTTCACACTTTACGTAACGCAAGGTTAATATTCATTACGTAAAAGAAGCCTCTATTACGTAAGGCTTCCGTAATGACATTTTAGAACTGTTACGTAAAATACACATCCATTACGTAAGGCTTTCGTAATACCTTCACACTTTACGTAACGCAAGGTTAATATTCATTACGTAAAAGAAGCCTATATTACGTAAGGCTTCCGTAATGATATTTTACAACTGTTACGGAAGATGCACATACGTTACGTAATCATTACGTAATACCTGTTGTGTTTTACGTAATGCAACCTGTGAAACCTGCTATAGCAGGTAAAAAAAATCAAGTTACCTTACTTCAAGGCATTGTAGGAATTCCCAAAAACTTAAGACTCTCTATGTAGGTAAGAAGGATAATTGCTTTTCACAGTTCTCTTTCACACCTTCCACACAACCTTCCATTCCTCTTTTAGGTTTTCCTTGAGGTTGTAGCAACTTTTAAAACTTTAATTTTTTGTGTTTCTGACAGGACAAGTAGGGGGTCATTGTTGGAACCGTTGTATAGAGGAGTGATACGATTCTTTTTCTGACGAGTGTCGGCCAGTTTGTAACCGTGAGTTTTGCTTGAATAGTTGCTTGCCTTCATATATTGAAGCTACAACCTAACCGACGTCCTACGATCAAGGATATTCCCGATAAAATCTAATCAACCAAACAATCAAATGAAATCAAATTAAACTAACAAATCCGACGCAGCGGAATCCGAAAAGAGAAAATCCTTACTTCGGACGTTGAAGGCAGTGACACGGTTCTCTATGTTGCTCTCTCTTAGCCACTGTATGGGCCGGCCGGGTTGCATGGGCTGCATGGCCCAACTCGACGGAGACGGCCGGATTTGCGAGGCTCGTTACTACTCTCATCATTCCCTTCTCCAGGAAAAATGGACTTGTCCTCAAGTCGAAGGTAGGGAAATTGGTTGAGCATCACAGACGATAACTCCCAAGTAGCTTCTTCAATGGGCAAGGCGCGCCACTAAACTAGACTTTCTTCAACAAAGCGACATCCACACGCCTTCCAGCGATGGTCCAGGATTGCTTCGGGATAGAGAACCAAAGCACCATCATCAGCTATTGGATGTACGACAGCAGCAGCGGTAGGAGAGGGCGAGTTGCAAGGATGCAGCAGGGACACGTGGAATACAAGATGGACCTGCGCGGATGGCAGTAAAGCAAGTCGATACGCCACAGGTCCAATCTTTTCAGTAATCAGGTAAGGACTAAAGAACTTACAAGAAAGTTTTTGGGAAGCGCGTTTGAAGACTGAATGTTGGCGGTAGGGCTGAAGTTTCAGGTAGACATAATCACCTACCTGGAATTCAACGTCTCGACGCCGCGTATCAGCATTGAGCTTCATCTTAGCCTGCGCATCTCCCAGGTTGCTTTTGAGTTGTTGGAGGACTTCATTACGGTCCATCAAGGTTTGGTCGATCTCGTGGACTGCCGTCTCACCCGGATGATAAAATAAGATCGGCGGCGGTGGCCTACCACACACCGCCAGGAATGGTGTCGTATCGGTGGAACTGTGGAATGTCGTATTGTACCAATACTCCACCCACAGAAGGAAGCTCATCCAGGGAAGGGGCTCCTGATGAGTGAAGCAGCGGAGGTATTGTTCCAAGCAACGGTTAACCACCTCGGTTTGCCCGCCCTTCTGCGGGTGGTAGGACGAGGAGTGCGAGAGCTGGATTCCCGAGAGTCGGAAGAGCTCACGCCTGAACTGGC